AATCTTGGGAAGAAGTTCATGAATACTACCTAATACCAATGTACAGAGTATGAGTACTTTAACCCTGAATACCTCTCTGACACAGGGAAGTGAATTCACTGGCCAGAATGGAATCTTTTGGCTTGTCATTATCTCTGGATGAAAGATTTCACGTGACATAAGAGGATGGTGCCATTTTTCTCTTCTCTGAGACAGAGAAATACACCAGGAACTAAGTGAATACATGGGCAAGAATGGAATCTTTTGGCTTGCCAAGATCTATGGATGAAAGAGGGCATATGTTATGGAAGGATGGCACCATTTTTTCCTCACCTTGGAAGAGACTAAGAGGTTATCAAGAGAGGAAGGTATATACCAACACAAAGGGCTAGAAGAAGAGCATTCAATTTAAGTGAGGAGCCAGAAGAATGGTAGGAGTACTCACTGGCACCTTGGCTATTGCCTCTTTACTACTATGATAATCAGAAGCTCAAGTTTGCCAAAAAAGATGAGTGTGAGGCTTTTCCCTTTTTGATATAACATTTTTTCTCTCTTCCTCTCCTAGGGGAAGCAAGTTGCAGAATCATCTTTCAAAAAGAGCCTGGCATGCCTCCCAAATGTGAGGATAGGGATAAATCTAAAACCCTGTACTCAGAGTTTAAAAATTAACTCCTTAGGGAGATGGCAAGGGGATACCAGACTTAATAGCAATTTACATGAAAAGACCTGAGAATCTCATGCAAGTACAAACTCAGTATGAAGCAACAGTGTGACATGACAGATAAAAAGGGTAAGGCACTATTGGTCAATATTAACATATATATTATATAGACTGGGAGAGGTAATAATCTTACTCTTTTCACTGATTGGACTAGGCCTGGAGAATTATTTCAGTTCAAGTTTCCACATTTTAAGAAGGATGTTGACACACTAGATTATGTTTACAGAAAAATGACCATCCACTCATTAAAAAAAAAAGCATTTATTGGACAGATTCTATAACAAAGCTAGGCAGAAAATAGGATCAAAGCATTTAGAGGCAGAAGGGAATTTATGGACCAGTTAGTTCAATTCACTCATTTTAAAGATTAAGAAAATGAGACCTAGAGAGGTAAAGTTACTTGTCCAAGGATATGTAAGGCTGCTAAAAAAAAAGCCTCTACTTTTAAGGTGTTTTTGTTCCTATTATACTTCAAACCCCCGCTAATAGAAGCACTAAGAGAAAGAACTGTTTTAGGTTTGGATGAGGCAGTCTGATGTACTAGAAAGAACACTGAGTCAGAAGATTAGTTCCAAATCCTATTTCTGATCCTTAATTCCCTATGTGACCTTGGGCAAATCACTTTTATGTTCTCAACCTCAATTTTCTTATTTGTAAAATTAGGGTCTTGGATTAAGTGACTTCTAAACATCCCTACCAGCCCTAAATAAGCTATATCCTATGAGTTCTATTAAATCAATAAATGTGACAATAAATGAATTGACTAAGCTTCTCCCTTCATTAATGAATTACATCCACAGCTACATGCAGGTCCTTTACAACTTGTCCCTCTATAACTTTTGTCTCAAAGTCTCTATTTAAATCTGCATCAAAACCAAACCTAAAACTCCACCATAGCTCCTCTATAGTCTCATTTCAACAACATGGTTCAATCAAAGCTATTCTGCTCCTTTCCTTGTGTGTGTAGTATTTGCTTTGCAAGCACTGCTATGAATACGGGAGACTCCAACACACACTGTCCCAGCAGAATTCACCAGCTTTGCTTGAGAGAGTCTCAAGTCTATAAAACACATCATGAAGGAATTGAGAGTTAGTATAAAATCCAGGGGAATGATGAGCACTACCTTCAAATCTTTCTAGGGCAGTCAAGTGGAAGGCAAATTAGATTGAATCTGTATAGTTCCAAAAACGTAGAACCAAAACCAACAAGAAGTCACAGGGAGACAGATTTAAGCTGAATTACTTAGTAAAAACTTTTTTTTAACAACTAGAGCTTTCCATAATGGTATGGGTTACCATAAATGGAATGGCTGCACCCAACCTTCTGAAGTTTTCTCAGCATTCTTGAAGCCTTAAGGGTTTTTTGGAACTGACCTGATGGCACACTACTGAGAATGCAACTAACCATGATTTTGACTTCTAAGCTTGCCCTCACCTTTAGAAAAAGGGATTTGTGGGAGGAAGAGGAGAGACCCAGAGAGTGTGACTTGGTGGACAGGTGGAGAATGACAGAGGTTGGAGCCAGAATAGCATGCCAGTCAGTCAGTCAACAAGCATTTATTAAGTACCTACTATGTACCAGGTACTGTACGCTTTGACCACTGTCTGAAAGGGAGCCAGGAACACATATTCCAGAGTCTACCATCGACCATCTGAGATGCCAATACATGGTTGCTGGTGAGACCACCATGGAGATTTCCCACTGTGCTTTCCTGTGGGATGAAATCCCCTTCTCTATTATCTCCCCTAATGTATTCCCTTGATTTACCTGTTCCCTAATGGAGAACTGGATGGAGGGAAAATTGGCCACACTTCTCCTCCCCATTGCTTTGTAGGGGTTAGCTTTGGCTGCTTTTAAAACTGCTATTTCTATAAATGATATTTTTTTTTTTTTTTAGTTTTCTCAGTATGTGTGTGACAAGGTATTAAAATCGGGATGGTCATTCAAATCTGTGCTAATTCTGCTTAAACACTAGCAAAGAGACTAGGAAAATGGGAAGACAACCTAGAAAATTGCTAGTTTTAAAGTACCAAGATTTCATAGACCCAACCAATTTGGATCTACCAGTAGAAACCAGCTAGGGATTTGAGCCACATATTTAATTTAAAGCACAGTACATTAGAGGAAGAAAAGGTCCTCTTGATATTTGAACTCATAAGAAGCTCCAGGATGCAAGTGAATCCTTTCATTTTCAAACTGCTGGTAGCCATCATTTTTTTGGGGGCACCCAGGTTTTAAAATAAAGATCTATCCCAGAGTGAGATATGAATTGAAAGAAAGACACACCTCCATGAAAGGAAGAGTGAGGACATCTCCCCCTCACAGGATATTGACAGTTCAGCCTGCCTTGCTTGCCAGCACCACCTGCTGGTCACTGACAGTAGAGATATTCAAACACGCTACATATCCACCTGTCGATGGGTGGGACTAAAAGTGTGAAAATATATGCCTTATCTATGCCTTAGGTTCTGTCTCAGATAAAAACAGGGTAATACAATCTTGCAGCACTCAGAATGATGAATGACTTAATAGCCTTTAAAAATAAAGATCTCTGGGGGCAGCTAGGTGGTGTAGTGGATAGAGCACCGACCCTGAAGTCAGAAGGACCTGAGTTCAAATCCAGCCTCAGACCAAACACTTGACACTTACTAGCTGTGTGACCCTGGGCAAGTCACTTAACCCCAATTGCCTATAACAAAAAAAGAAAAAAAAAGGATAAAGATCTCTGGCTGCAGCTCATTTAACCAACAGCCATTTGATTGATAAGCTATTTTTTTCCTTTAGAAGTTGGTCTAATTGAAAGATTCTCTAGTTTCCTCAATTAAGCAAAAAACAGCAATAAGCCTTTGAAAAGAGAACCACCCTTACTAGCTGTGTGACCCTGGGCAAGTCACTTAATCCCAATTGCCTAAAAAAAAAGAAAGAAAGAAAGAAAAGAAAAGAAAGCCACCATCTATCTAGTTATGGGACATTGGACCTCTTATACAGACACCATTCTTACAAAGGGATTTCTAGAATTATATTCTATTTTTATACTTTGAGGTGTCTACTTGTCATCAGTTATAGGTAGTCAGTCTTGTATTAAAAAGTCCCAATATACTCTACTCACTACCTCCTACCTTCTCTAGGGCACACTTTTAGAATCTCCCAGCTTTGTTAACATTCTCTTTTCCCCACCCCACTGTCATACTGCCTGAAAATATTAGTGAAAAGGAATATCATAATGACTGTCACTTTGGGTCCACAACTCCTATGAAATCCCTCAGCTATAACTCTAATCTCTTGGGTCTAATCTTTTGACATAACCTAATCACAGACTTGCAGCCTCTATTTCCCTCTCTACTCCCCCACCCCAGTCTCTTCTGTCTTAACCTCCTAGAAGCGACTCAGTGTATGTGTATGGGGATGGGAGGAGGGGATGGGAGAAAAGCATATCTCATGGAAGACTTCTCTGTCCTCAAGGATCCCTTAGGAACTTGCAGGCAATTAAACCCTGCTCTGGAAGATCTCCCTCTAATAGAGTTCTTTTTTATAAGGGTTCTGATTTTCAGCTAAGCCCACCTACATGAGAATCATCTGTGGACAGTTTCACTGCTGGAGCTACGGTGTAAGGCAGGCAACACCCCCTTCACTTCAGGACTACATTAAGGTAACAGTAGCAAAAACAAAACAGATTAAAAAAAAGTACAAACCCTCTCCTCTGGCCAAGAACCCCAGGGGAAATGAAGCAAATGCACCATATGGCCTCATTCTGTCTTCAGGCATTCTCAAAATGATGCTCTCCACAAATGCGCACATGCGTGTGCATGCACGCAAGCGCACACACACACACACATACACACACACACTCCACAACTCCTCTATTCCTGTCACAAATACCTATACACAGCCAGAAACAGGCCTACAGTGTTCATGTTTCAGTGAACATTTCTCTAGCCCTATTCACTCCCTGGAGAATTTGATGTATTCCAGGTGGGAGTGTCACCTCCCCTCCTGTTTGGTGACATGCAGAGAAACAAGGTTAAGGGCATCCCCCACAGTGTAGCAGCTAAAGAAAACAGTCTTCTTATTTGAATTTTGTCTCCCTCATTAAAATTCGAGCACCTTTGAAGGTAGAGACCATGCCATTCCTTACTTGGCACACAGTAACCATTTAATAAATGCTTGATGACTGACTAACTGTTGTTCTGGGGGTAAGCCAGACTTGCAGAGTGGGCAGCCCAATACCCAAGCCTCACCATACCAATGATACAAATGGGACTATATGAAATTGTTCCACCCTGAAGCCCTGCTCTGTACCTGAGGTTCAGATGATCCTGACAGGTCTTCACTTCTGCACTGCGTGGGTGGCCACTCTCCACGAGGCTGTTTGCAGCAAGATTCACCCCATCAATCTGTGCCATCAGCGTCTTCATCTCCTGGTCCAGAATGTCGAACCTAAGACGGATATTGCAATGTTCTGGGTATAATATAGCAACAAGAACAGCAGAAAAAGCACCACTCGGTATAGGGTCAAATCCCAAAGAAGCAAGATTTCTAATTCTTTCCCACCACCTTTTAAACAGCATGTTCCTATATTTAAAAGATGAGAAATTAATGAAAAGTCCAACTGTCACTCTGGGACACCTTGCTACTGTCAGATCCTTCAGCTCCACCTCTAATCTCTTGGTACTGAGGTTAATCTTTCAATATAGCCTAATTTCAGACTTGCAGTCTTAATTTCTTGGCCTAATGTCATAAAAGTCCCTCTCTTAGGGAAGCATAAGCAGAAAGGGTGGTTATTAGGCATGTTATGGGTTCACCTAACAGAAGAAGAATGGAGAAAGGGTTTAAGCAAAGGGTTTGGTGGATATTATCAATGGCCAAATTGCCAGGAGGGCCAACCTATTATCACTACTATCCCACTGTCGCCCAGTTATTGTTTTCACGACACCCTTGTCTTCCCTCCTCAGGTCAGGCAGCTTTAGTGTGGTTCCCATTGAATTGGGGGTTGGAGGGTTTAGGTTTGAATTCTGATCCTCCTTCTTATTGAATGTGTGACATTGTGTAAGTTATTTAACTCCTCTGGGCCTTCAATTACTCATCTGTAAAATAGGAGGGAGGGTAGAGCATATAATCTCTAAGGTCCCTTACAGAACTAAATACTATGACTCTATTTTTCAGTAGCTGGTAGAGATGGATAGGAGAGAACTAATCCAGCAGCAGTAGGCATAGAAGCCTGTTTTTCCTGGGAATGAGAACTTGCTATGGGCAGAGGCTTCTTCTAGTCCCACTGGAATCCATGCTCAGATTCTAAACTCTGTCTCTGATTTACTCTTCGGAGGACCAGTGAGAGGTGATGGTGAAAATGTTAAACTCCATTCTGGCCTCTGAAGGAAAAAGGGAATCACCAGCATCACATGGGATCTCAAAGAGCTATCTTCTATTGAGGAACCTGTAAATAGTAAAGTATCAAAAAAAAATAGTAAAGTAACTTAATGAAAAGCTCTGGGACAACTGGGTGGCATAGTGGATAGAGCACCAGCCTATCAGAAGGACCTGAGTTCAACTCTAGCCTCAGACACTTGACAATTACTCACTGTGTGACCCTGGGCAAGTCACTTAACCCCACTGCCTCCATAAATAAACAAACAAAAACAAAGCAAACAAAAAGAAAAAAAGAAAAGCTTTGGTGAGGATGAAGCAAGGGATATGTTAACCTGGTTCTGACCTGTGCTGTACCACCTCTAGGTCCTCCAGAGTGTCTGGGATATCCATCTGATTCAGCCACTTCTCCTTCTCCCCCATCCATAGTTCACAGGCGTCTGTCTCACCAAAAACTGTATATAAATCCAGGGCATCCTGTAGCCTTTGCCGACGCAGGTCAGCCTGGGCTACCACCTGCTGGTGAAGTTCCTGAAGAGCCTGGAGCCGATTGTTTACATCAGGAGAATCCCGGAATTCTTGTGGGAAGCTCTGGGCTTGCTGTTCCAGGTGCTCCATCACCCCTCGACTCTCCTCCAGCTCCTCCAGAAAGTCCTTATGTTTCTTTCCCAGGGCCCGGGTAGCTCCTTCATCTTGTCCAACATCCTCTCCTGAGAGCAAGCGGTGGGCGTCTTGCAGCCAGGCCTTCAGGTCATCAGCATCCCCCTGGAACTGGAAGAAATTCTCAGCATCCTGGAGGTTTTTCTTGCGGAAAGCAGCCAGCTCCTTCAGCTGGTCCCACAGGGCAGACACCTCCCGGATGCGGGCCTCAATCTGTGGATATCTAAAGTGCTTTTGGGCCACCATCTCCTCTGCTTCCTTCATCATCTGCTCCAGCTGGGCATCTAGTCCCCGTAGCTCATCTTCAAAGGCCCTGTGCTTACGTTGCAAGATTAACACACTGGTCAAATCCTTGCCATAGTCCAATGAGGAATAGATCTGCTCCTTCTCCTTGATCCAGCTCTCCGCCTCATCCATCTCCCAAAAAAACTTCCACAGTCGCTTGGACTGCTCCAGCCGGGCCTTCCTCCCCGCAGCCATTGAGCTTAACTCCCCAAAGCACAGCTCCAAGTGGCTGACCCGATCCTGGATGACTTGGGGGTCGCAAGGCTGGTAACCTGAGTGAGGAAGAAAGGGCAACAGCAAAGGAGAGAGAGAGAGAGAGAGAGAGAGAGAGAGAGAGAGAGAGAGAAGAGGTTCATTTTCACTGTAAAATTAAAACCAAGGATATAAATTGGCCATAGTAACTCACATTTCTAAAAGCACTTCGGAGTTACAAAGCACCTTCCACATAAAAGTGAGGCGGATAATGCAAGTATTATTCAGGCTGTGAAGCCGAGGCACAGAAGAACTAAATGACTTGCTCAGAGTTACGTGGATAATGAATATCAGAGTTAGGATTCACACTCAGGTCTCTTGACTCGTATACTTAGATATACTTATCCCATAAACCCACCTAAGGAGGCTATAGGCCAGGATGTTAGTGGCCTGGAGGAAAGTGAAGTTGCTTTTCAAACAAATTTTAATTTTATCTCTTGGGATAAAGGGAAGCTAAAAGTTGAAATCCCCTAAGCTTTGGGACTCAGCCTTAGGGCTGGACTGTCCTCTATGGAAGATAAGGGAGTGAAAATTCACCTCAATCTACTATATCTAGCCAGCCCTGAACTATGATTTACATCTCATCCAGCCATATACTGGGATATGAGGGTCTACCCAGCTTGGGCATCTGTATGCTGACATTTATGTAGCCTGCCCCTCTTGCTCTGGGAACAATAATCAAATCAGTACTGTCATTGCTACTAGAAATAATAGAAAGAATACTAGCAAATCCTCCTCTGACAGTTAATACCCATATGGCCTTGGGCAAATCGCTGGCTTCTGTAGACCTCAATTTCCTCACAAATAAAATGAAGTGGATGGACTTGATGTCTTCTGAGATCCCATCTAACTTCAACTAGCCCTATAGGCTCAAATTCCCTTCTGTGGTCACCGTTCCCCTATATTTTTTGTTTCCCCTTTGAGGCCAAGGACCATCACAATTTTGTATTTGTATCCCTAGGAATAAGCACATAGTAGGTGCTTAATAATAGCTTGTCAAATGACTTGCTGAAGAGCTTACAGTAGGATTCTGTTTTGTTGGTGGGAGGGCCTTTCTCCAAATGTGTTCACACCTTCCTGTTGTCTTAAAATCAATGTTGAGGTACTATATTAACTCTTTAGAAAAATGGTAGGATGTTCCCTGTACAGGACTGGGGTCCAGGAGCCTTTCATTCTATTCTCTGATTCACTATTTACTCAGCCACCTACTGTTGCACAGGGCACCATGCCAAACCTTGGGGGAGATACAAAGACAAGATCTCATTGGTACTTGACCTCAAGGAATTTATGATTTTCATCTTGTGATTCATATCTATGATCTTAACTGGGTGAAATGGTGAGGATTTTCTGGTACTTGCAAATCCCATTTCAAACTGTTTTTGACAGTAATCGCCTGGCATCTAATGACATTTGTTCTCTCACCCCTCAAGTCCCTTTCATGGAACCTTAGTTGATGAAAGCAAAAAGAAACTGAGCTTTGGGCCCTAAAGGGGAATTTACTGTAGGCTTTACTGTTAGGAGGACTTCACTGAAGGGGAAGAAAGGTGGAATCTTGAAGCCAAGAGGAAGCATCCTTTGCCCAACCTTTCCTATCCGTGAACTGGAGAGCTGCTGATGTGATTGCCTTCACTTTATCCCCCTGGATGGCAATGTCAGCTTCCATCAGCTTGTGCTTCTGAAGCAGGTCCTCTACCTCCAACAAGTGCTTTCCATACTCAGAGGACAGGAGATGAACCTAAGAAAGAGGAGATAAAGTGAGGATACCTGTACTTCTCCAGAAGAAAGAAAGGAGATGAGAGTCCCTTCTGGAGAAAGCATTCAGCAACACTTAAACCAGGGTGACTAAGATGAATTTATTTTAAAAACTAAACCTGTGATTTCTTTGGTATAGTGAGGCATTTACTCCACCAATGCAGGTCAGCATCTTCTCTGCAAATTCTAGTCTTAGGGAGTTATGTGGGGCATTGAGAGAAGCGAAGTGAATGACTTGCTCCTGGTCACACAATCAGTATGTTTCAGATGCGGGATGTGATTTCTCATCTTTCTGATGCCAGGGCAGCTCTCTCTCCTCACTACACAGTGCTGATTCTCATGGTGAAGATTCAATTAGAATATAAGTACCCTTCTTACTGCTGCTTGGGACCAAAGGATATAGGAAAGGGTAAAGTTGAGTGGAATAGAGGACAGGGGGCTTGTGGGCACCCTTTACACTGTACAGATGTGTGGTCGTTGTCTTTTGCTACAGCCTGGTGGTGATTATTGGTGGCTGCAAACATTCAGGCTCTTGGTCTTCCTCTTCCTCCCTTTTAGACAGACATCTCACTGTTCATGAACACTAACCTTAAGAGCAAGCAGGTAAATGTAAATCAGCTTGTCTACTCCTTAACGGATAGGTTGGGGGAGGGAGTGGAGAAGTTTGTCTGGAAGAAGCAGAAACTATAGGACCTCAGAGATTGCCTGGTTCAGCCCTTGCCTAGATCGTGAGTCATCATCTTTGCCATTCATGTCTATTTAGATAATTTTAAGTCAGTTGTGCAGGTCATGGGTAGAGCATAGGTTAACCGTGGGTAGGGACAGACAAGGACTGTGCCTTTATGTCCTTATCTTGAGTCAGGGAAATTGACAACCATTCTTTGCCTCCTAACCTTCGGCAGAAAGGACCAGCAGGCTTCAGTCTGGTGTGTTTACAAAAGGGTTTGTGATTCCTGGATGAAAGGAGTCAAAGAAGCATAAATTAATAGCAAAGTTGTTATTCTCCACCCCAGGAACTCAGTGATAGGGCCAAGCTGTTAGGTGTTGGCAATGGAGAAGAAGGGACAGAGATCTGCCACTGAGAGACCAGACCTTGATCTCATCTATCCAGTCGATGCTGTGAAGCATATCCTGGAAGAGCTTCTGCAGGGTCAGGGTCATCTCCAGCCTTTGGCGCCGAGATTGCAGCAGATCCAACAGGTAGGACCACAAACGCAGGATGTTGTCCTTTCTCGCCTTGATGCGCTTCAAGTCGTGATAATTCTCCTTCTCCAGTTCCTGGGCCAGGTCCTCCAGAGCCTTCACCCTCTCCTCATAAGCAGCAGTATCTGTCTCTATGGCTTCATGCTTCTTCTTGGCTGCTTCCACAGCTGCCAGGTCATAACCAAAGTTATCCTGCCCCACCAGAGAGAGAACACAAGAGATGGGAACATCAGATTCCCAGTCAACTCCACAGATTCCGACCCACCCACATACAGACACAACAAGGCCACCATTAGAAACTGGCCTGTTTACCGGTGGATCGTGGGAAAAAAACTTTTAGGTTCATTCAAATAATAATTTCTAGCACTAGCAGAATACTTTTAAAGTTTACAAAACACCTTTCATATATTCTCTTATTTGAGCCCCACTGTAAGCCTTTGGGGTAAGTATTGCAATTATCCTCATTTGAGATATGAGGAAAGGAGGGCTCAGAAAGAGTTAAATAATTTGTCCGGGGTCACAAAGCTACTATTTGTCAGAGATGAGATTCAAATACGTCTCAGCTCCAATCACAGCATTCTGACTTCTCCTAAATACTTCTAGCTCTGACTTCAAATGGTCATAGGTTTAGAGGTAGAAGAGACATTAGGCCTCAGGTAACCTAACCCCCTCATTTTGCAGATGAGGAGACTGAGGTCACACAAGTAGTATCAGAGAAAGGATTTGAATCCAAGCCATATGACTCCAAATCCAATCTCTTTTCATTGCACCACATTGCCACACAAGTTTTAGCAGGGAACTAGTTTTGCTCTTTTTATTTTCTAATTCAAAGCCAAGTTCTGAAAGTCTGAGCAACTCACAAATACTTTCTAAGGGGTGTCATTATTTAGCCTATGGTGCTCAACTAACTTTACATTGGCAGGCTTGGACCTTAATAGGTTTTTCCTCCTAGATGTGGGCAGGGCAAAGAGCCCATCTGCCTACAGTCTGGTTTCCACATATAGAGATTTACATTTGCATATGCAAATACATAAATATTCTTCCAGAATGATTGTTTTCGGTTCCTAGTCTGAATTTAACTTAATTTCAATCTGCATGTTAATGGAGAAGAGACATTCTCTCTGCCAAAAAAAAAAAAAAAAGGTCCAGGGGGCAGCTAGGTGGTGCAGTGGATACAGCACTGGCCCTGAAGTCAGGAGGACCTGAGTTCAAACCCAGCCTCAGACCAAACACTTGACACTAGCTGTGTGACCCTGGGCAAGTCACTTAACCCCAATTGCCTAAAAAAAAAAAAAAAGGTCCTGTGGTTAATGTGATTAGATAAATGTCGGAATCCTGCACTCCAAAGTCTATGCTTGGAGCAAGTATGAAAAACCAGCAAAAATAAATAAATCACATTGCTCTTTCTCTCTAACATATACACATTCACAAATACAAGTCCCAACTATGTGTGTATCCTAGAACTTTTATCTATAGCCAAATCATACTTTGGCTGAAGCTAACAGCCCATATAAACCAACTTTGAAGAAGCTTTCTAGAAATGAGGCTTAATATCTATAATCTGTTTATCTCCCACCAGGTTCTTTAAAGATAAGAGATAAGGATTTCTGGTCACTTTCAATTTAGCTTGAACCTGAAAAGAGTATAAAAAGAGATAAACCACAAGCACTGATCTGCATTCAGGGGTAGGTACTTTCAGAGCAAGAAAAGGCTGGGAAGAAATTTAGAAAGGCAAGTGATAAGAGCTAATATGTTACAGAGAACAGAATGAAAGGTTGTATTTATACCAAAATACTCATAATAGCATTTTTTGTGATAGCAAAGAACTGGAAACACAGTAGATGTCCCATTAATTAAGGAATGGCTACACAAATTGTGGTATGTGATTATAATGGAATAGCACTGTACCACAAGAAACAATGAACACAGACTCAGAAAACCATGAGCAGCCTTAGGTGAACTGATACAGAACGAAATAAGGAGAATCAAGAAGAAAATATATACAATAACCACAACAATGGAAATGGAAAACAACAGCAAAAACAAAGCAAAAAACATGAAATGAAACATCATATTTGTGAATGACTAAGTTTGGACCCAGTGGAGAGAGAAGGAAATGTACCTCCCTTCCTTCTTTGCAAAGGTGGGGGATCACAGGTGTGGAACACTACATTTACTCTCTCAGGCTCGGCTGGTGTCTTTTCTCATTTTGCTAAACTGCTTTTATTCTTTTTCTTTTCTACAAGAAGCTTGCTCAGGAGGGGATGGAAGAAGGATTTATTCCAAAAAGGTAATGTAAAAACAAGGAGATCAACAAAAAATTTTAAAGTACTGATATTTAAGCATACAGCCTGGCAGCCAGATTTGTCCATATCCTTTACACAGAGTAAAAGGTAACAAAAACAACAAGGTCACAATGAAGCATAAAAGAAGAGGACTTCTGAAGCAAGTCAGACAGGATGGTAAAGAGATGACACGCTTGCTCATGTGTTCCTGAAGCAACAGCATTGGAAGGTCTTCTAAAGAAAGTCTGGGCTGAGATTCTTAAAGTCTAGCCAATGCTCAGATTCTTTAAGATCTGGCTCACTTGCATTAGCAATACAAATGCTCAGATTCCTTAAGAGTCTGGCCAATATGGCAGATCTTTAATAAATCATGTCTTTGGCTGAAAAAAAAAAAAAAGAAAGTAAGTCTGGATGATCCACACCTTTAACGTTCACCTCAATCATTCATCTTTGAGATTCTGGGCATGTAGAAATGCTGTCCACCAAAGGTACTGGGTTCCAGCACCACAGCTGTAGAGCCAGCTCATCTCCCCAGAGGTTGACTACTATGGAATTCTCCCTGCCAGGAACCTGAGAGTTACTCATAATAACCCCAAACATTACCTGGGCGACCAGGCGCTGGTTCTCATTGAGCCATGTCTCCCTCATTGCAGCCTTGCGGTCAAAGCGTCGGGCCAATTGCTCTAATTTCTCTTGCCGAATGAGTTCATTCCTCAGGGCCAGCTCCCTTCGATATTCGGCTTCCTCCAGGCTTTCCCAGGCCTGCAGGTAGGAACAGGTCCAGCATTAGAAATGGAACATACTGGGATAATGAGGGTTCCATGACAATGTATGGTGCCATTTCTTCAACAGGCACTCAATACAATTGGGGCACTTGAGGTGTGGGGGTAGAAGCCAATACTCCATTGAATAAATGAGGATAGGCTTGTAATATAACAGCAGCCTTTGCCCCATGTGTCCAGATAACCAAGTTTTCTGAGAACAAGTTTTTCTCTGATGCTTCATAGCAGCATCAAAAGCCTGGCCTTCACCTATGTTATACACCTATTAAGATTTCCTGGGTTTTAAAATCTTGCAAAAAATGTTTTTTCTCCTCCATTACAATATGAGCTCCTTGAGGGAAAGGGCTGCGTTTTTGCCTTTCTTTGTATGCCCAGCACTTAGCACAGTGCCTTGTACTTAGTAAGTACTTAATAAATACTTATTGACTGATTTCTGTAACACAGAAACAGAAACAGCCAACAATATTATCTGCAAATGTCCCTGATTTCTTGTTGATGGCAACCAATGAAATAGATGCCCAGAAATGCATTCTTTGTATCAGGATATATATTGAACTGAGTTGATGGATGGTGAATGGATTCTGACTGATCATTGCCTTCAGGTAGTACACCAAAATAACCTGCATATAGATTCAATAACACTGAAGAAGATGGCTTAATTTACCCAGCTCAGTATTGACCAATCCCCTTTACCAATATCCAGATATTGGTATCCCAATCAACCTCCCTGGCAAAGCATAATGGAAAATGCAGCTGTACCCGGTTGATGTCAGACACAAGTTTCCCTTCATGTGGTGTGTACACTTTCTGATTGTTGGCCCTCATCCTGGACTGAATGGTGAAAAGCAGGACTTCCAGATTCCCCTTCTCTTGAAATCTAAATGAGAACAGAGGGAGAAAAATTAGTCTCCAGATCTCCAAAGTAAAATCTCCTACTCAGATTAAACATGTTATCCCACTGACTTAGAGTTTGGAAACCATGCCAGATTTCCCTTGGAAGCTAGGGGGGGCATGAAAGGGAGTAGGAAACAATGATTTATAGTCCTGTTTGACTGTCAAAATACCTGTGGACTAGCCAGGACAAAACAAAGCTTACATCATTATAATATAGATCAGAGAAAATAGCCACTATCATCTGAGCACTTGTCTCTTACTTGCTTCCACAGGGGAATAACTAACTGGAATATTTTCTAACAACCTTTGACTATGTGATGTTGCACTAATCAATACCAAGTAATGCCTCAGTCATTCTGCACAAAGTTTCTGGTAAGCTCTTCTGTCAATTCTTCATTTGGTATGTCAATAAAAACACTAACAAGGTATTAATCCTCATAAAGACATGTTGCCCTAAAAGCCATTTTCAAAAATCTGTAGAACTATAAGTTCACAGCATAAACCTAAGGTCACAGCAAGTCCCAAAGTCTTTTTAAAAAATAATTGTTAAAAAGAAAAGCAACAGCCAGGTTGGGTCTTTGAAGGCATGTGGGTGTCAGGAAGGAAAGCTAGAAATAGGCTATATAGAACTAAACCTCCCACTCCCAAACTCTGCAAAACCCTCTGATTTCAATGACATCTTTGATTCACTCTAAAATAACAGAAGAGGAAAACAACTTATTCTATAACATTAATATTGTAAAAATGAACAATTCTGATCAGTGAAATAACCATAATTCCAGGAGTCTGATGAAGAACAACTGCCCACCTCAAGTCAGAGAGATGATGAACTCGTTGCAGAATGAGAAACTCGTTCTGGAATATGGCCAATGTGAGAATTTGCAAGCTTGACTCTGCTAATATGATACTAGGGTTCTGTATTTCTTTCTTTCAAATAAGGTAATATTTGTATAGTGTTTAGCACATGGTAGGTGCTTAATAAATGCTTATTTCCTCCCTTCTTTTTTCTTTCATTGAGCAGGGGAAGGAAGAAGGAAGAAAAATGCTTAATAGCTAAAAAAAATTTATCAAAAATTAGATAACAGAAGATTCTGATACAATATGCTATACCTTCTTCGAGAACTCTCGATGTGGTGTTCTAGGGATCAGTCCTACAGTGGAGTCTCCAACCCAAGAAACACCCAGCAATTCTTAATGCTCATGAACACTTTTGCAAGAGCCTTGGCCCTGACACTTTGTCTATATAGCCAAGGGATAACATTCCCGTGCCCAGTACCTCTCACTCTAACAAGGGATGATGTCTGTATTGAATTTAGGACCTTAAAAGTGGGTCAGTGTCAGAAAAGAAATCAGATACTTGTTTATAGGTACATTCTAGACTCCATGTCTCACCTTTCCTTGTTTAAGAGCCATGAATGGAGAGTTTAGGAAGATAGAAGTCAGGGGGAGAGGCAGGTGTAATTGATGAGTGATGAAATCCACTTTTAAAGAGTTGGGCAATCTACTGGCAAATAAGCAAGTCCATACTCTGTGTATATGTATGTGTTTGTGTGTGTGTGTTTGTGTGTGTGTGTGCATGCATGTACATGTGCGTGGGTAGATGGAATAAGCATTTATGAAGCAATTACTATGTGCCAAGCACTGTGCTATGTGCTTTACAAATATTATCTCATTTGATCCTCACAGCACTGACTCTAATAGCTAGGCACTATGATAGTAGTAGTAATAATAATAATAACAACAATGATGATAACCTTTATGTAGTGCTTACTATGTGCTAGGAATTGTGCTATTTTACAATTATGATCTCATTAAATCCTCATAAAAATCCTGAGAGATAGGTGCTATCCCCCATTTTACAGATAAGGACACCTAAACAGGTTAAGTGACTTTCCCAGGGTCACACAGCTAGGAAGTGTCTGAGGCCAGACCATCAGGTCTTCCTGACTCCATCTATCCACTGCCCCACCTAGCTGCAAGTTGTTACCTAAGGTGAGATAGAAAAGAAACCCTGTCAAAGTTTAGGCTGAAAAGTTCAGCAATAGGAAATGGAAAATAGAAACCAGAGGAGGAAGAGGGAGAGGAAGGATAACCATGATGATTAATGGCAATTACAAACAAGGGCACTAGGCTGAGATTACAGAGGGTAATGAGATCAGGGAAATGAGCATTTCAAGAGAGCAAAGCAATACAGCGGCTCTAAATCAAGTACACTGAAGAGTTGCAGCTGAGGATCCAGAGTCTGGAAAATCACTTGTCTCAGTTATAAGATGGGACTAATTAGTAAACACCTGATAGGGTTATGTGGGGCTGGGTCAAGATTGGAGAGGGGGTTCTGAATTGACTTGAAGAATTTTAACCTCTTGCAAAATGGAGAAATAGCCAAGGAAACTGAAATCACCAATGAATTCCTAACCTATGTCAGAGAGGCAGCAAGATCTGGGTTCAAGTCCTGTTTCTGACACATACTGGCTACGTGACCCTGAACAACCACTTAACCTCTATGAAGAAAAGGTGCTGACCTACATTGGTAGAGGGACTTCCCTCATCCAGGAATTCCTTACACCAAAGAATGCATGTAAGTTAGTCTTTGTCTCTATACTTGTCAATAAGCTTCCTTCGGTTCCATAGCCACAGCTACATATCTAAGTTCGTTTACCTTACAAATGGCTGCCACACATCTGTGTCAATAGAGACACACATCTGTGTCACACAATGGCTGTCACACATCTGGGACAATAGAGCAAATGTACCCCCCCTCCTGAAACAAACACCCTAAAGCTTATGGAAGAAGGGTGAGGTACAGGTGCTTTATACAAAGTAATAGAAAAGTGGGGTCATTTCTACAAAAAAACACCTCTTATTCTGTGACTATCTATGAAAGAGCTATGGGAGGAAGTGCCCGGAACTCTCCCGTCTTCCAAACTTTCCTGTTGGGGACCCAGCTATCCTTCTAGTTACCAGGGCAAACAACTTCAGTGATCTTGGACTCTCTCCTTCACCCCTATATCCAATCTGTTGTCCAATCTTAAAGATGCTACCCATACAATACTTCATATGTCGCTTTCTCTCCACTCATACAACACCAGCCTTGTTCAGACCCTCATGACCTCTCACCTAGACTATTGAAATAGTCTCATAATTGATCTATAGCCTTTCTCCTCTCTAATCCATCCTCCACACAGCTGCCAAATTGAGATTCCTAAAGCAGAGGTCTGACTATGTCATCTTGTTGCTCTAAATAATCTAAATATCATCTAGGATAAAATGAAAACTCCTCTATTTGGCTTTTAAAGCCCTTCACAACCTGCTTCTGGTCTAACCTTTCCAGGCTTATTACATAATACTTTCCTTCACACTCTATATTCTACCCAAATTAACTTGTTAGCTGCTACAGCCATTCATGACATTGCAACGTCTCCATGTCTTTGCACAAGCTATCATGCCTACAACATACTTCCTTCTCACCTTCACCTCTTAGAATCAATGTCACCTTCTACAGGAAGTCTATTCTGATAAGCTGCTATTCCCATACTCCCCAGAAATTATTTGCACATATTTCATATTTAATTTTCTATGGGCATGTTACTTCCTCCCCAATAGAATGTAAGAGGCTTAAAGGCAGATGCTATTTCTTTTTTTACCTGTGTATCCTCAGCCTCTGGCACATAGCAAATGCTTAATAATGCTTGTGAAAAGAATCAATATATGCATTCCTAGTTAACTCAATAAAAGTCTGTCTGTGCAGATATGACCCTTACTTGGGGGGCTTCTCCACAGTACGGTAGGTACTGAAAGATTGCAACTGCTGTTGTAACCCACTCAAGGAGTTAGCAAATTTGCGGCTGTTAAGGACAGTAATAGTCTGCTCAATCCAGGTAAGCAGATCGGAGGCCAGCCCACTGTATTTTTCAATCATCTTCTCAGTTTCAATGGCATGGTCAATCACCTGGTAATTATAAACAGCATGGACATTAGCATCATTATTATTACTGAAAATAATGATATTCATAAATGATTACACCATTCATGGCAATCACAATCAAGGAATCCTTTGCAATGGTTTACCTCCTTTTAGGCAGATTATGCACCAAGCTATGAGAGGGAACCCATTTCTCTACTGGGTTGCATGCATTTGGCTCATTACTCCTGCCTGGAGCAAGGAAAGTAAACTGAAAGTCAGACTGGTCTTAATTCATTTTCACTGACACAATCAGAAAAAACTCAAGTCTGTCAGTATCCAGAAGGAAGTAACCCTTGGGGAAAACATATGTGTGGCTCACCAGTAGAGAGCAGCAATCATGGCACAGACCGTCTACACAATGCCTAGCACCCTGTAGGGGCCTAAGAGCTAGAAAATCACAAGAAAAAAATTCATAATGCTGGAGGGATGTGGAAGGTCAGTAAGCAATATTATTCCCTCAGAACTTGGCTTTCCATGGTACAAGGGGCCCCAGAAGTGCAGACAATGATGTCTTTTAGGACAAGATGTGAAACTGAGAGAATTCAGCTTTGGAGTCTTGTCAGTGTAGTTATGGATGAGTCTGGCAAAGGTGGAAAGAGTCTGTACCAGCACTGAAGATAAGCCACCTTCCATCATGAGCCTCTGCTGATCCATCATAACTAGAACCCAAGCAAAGCATGTCCCACACAGGGGAAACCATACTGTTAAACTCTGTGATAACCCAAGAGTCATTATCAAAATAAAAGGGGAGAAAGGAGTGTAAGTCACAGAAATTCCTAGACTTTGAATTGGGTTTGGCTCCAGTGTGAGTCTAATAAGAAGGGGGAGGTGACTCACTATAGTTTTCTGTCTGGTCCATACCTTGCCAACACGCTTGCCCTCCACAGCCAGCACCTTCATCTTGGAGAAATAATGGTAAAATGCCACCACATAGGTAATGATGGATTTCTCATCAGGATTCTCTGTGAAGACATCTGCAAGAAAAAAGTGACCAACCTTCTTATAGCAATTAGAGGAAAATTCAATTACGGGAAAAATTCAATTAGAGGAAAAAACTAGAAGCCTAGGAAAAATTAGGCTTATTATAAGGTATCCATTCTAAAAGTCACCTTGCTCCTATATCACAAAGCTCACTATAGTTGCAGATCACAGAATTGACAACAGGCTCCAAGGAAACATCAAAGAACAGGAATTGGGGAGAAATGGGTGTGTGGTTTTTGAGACAGGAAATAAAAAATCCAAAAGGAAAGCAATTCTGTAGCAAAAGAGGAGGGTCAAACACTTCACAATAGATTAAGGGTGGGAAGGACTTCCTGAGTTGCACTATATATCAGACACTAAGTCATACACAAGTATAAGGAGAGACCATGTGGGCTCTCAGGGCTCATTCTGCACCCAGAACTGAGGAACAGCCCATTGTAAGTGTCAATTGCTATTCCAGGAAGGGCTCTGCAACAGAAGTAAGCTCTGGTTGAGTCCCTATCTACCTAAAGCTGTCATTTACATGGACAAACAGGGCTTTGCTCCAAGGCTCCAACAATTGGTGGTGCACGCTTTCTCCCTGTGGTGATCACCATCCCCATATCTTATCTCACAGTACTCAGCTACATGACACAATAGATTCTGGGCAACTTTACTGCTTTCATGGTCTCAATCTCTTTCTCAACAAACCCACCTTATCTTTCAACCTCCAAAGTGGTAAAAGTTGAACTGCCTCCTCCCCTCATATAAATGTATCTATAGCCAGACTGTCTTCTGTACTCTATCCCCAGCTGTTTTTTACCCTAGTGAAAATATTCCTAGTTATAGTGGGCAGCTAGGTGGCACAGTGGATAGAGCACCGGCGCTGGATTCAGGAGGACCTAAGTTCAAATGCGGCCTCAGACATATAACACTTACTAGCTGTGTGGCCCTGGGCAACTCCATTGCCAGCCAAAAAACAAAACAAAACAAAAATTTTCCTAGTTATAACTCTGGGATGCAATGAAGGAATTGGTCTGGAAATAGGATGAAGGTTGAGAGAATATTTCTGGTTTACCTTCTGGGTCAAGGAGTGGGATGATGCCCAGTTGCTTTTCTGCCACACCAAACGCATGTTCCAGATTGTGCCGGGCATTGGAGTCCTTCAGCTTCTCAAAGTCAATCAGATCTGGCCTGGGAATGAAACCAGAATATTAAAAAGGAGATTCTATAGCATCTGCATTTAACAGCATGGGATTCAGCCTGCCCACAGAAAGAGACAGATCTTGAGCTGATAAAGGGAGTCAGCATGGGAGTGAAAGTGTAGGTTACAAGAATGATGGAGAAGGGACACTTTGGAAAGAATGAACAGAACAAGAGGGAGCAACAATGAGATTAGGAATGGGAAGAAAGAGGGCAGAGGATGGGATGGGCATTTAAGAAAGGGGGAGTACTGAGAGCATTAAAAATGACTAAGTCCTAATGCATAAAATTCACATGGATTTCAAACAATAACTTGTATGTGAAGTAGAAGGCTCCAATACACCCCAATTAATTAAATATCTCAACAGGATCCCAGAGACCTCTTACCGATGCTTGTGAATCAAGGCATTAAAAGCCAGGCCATCCTTCCAGCTGGAGGTAAAATTGGTGACATTGACGTGGGGATAACTGCATCCAAGAGAAACATTTTTAAAAGTGAGAAATTGGCTTCATTGGACTCTCAAATGTGTATGTGTATGAAATGTGAGAACTATTACACATTTTAAAGAATGACTTTATCCCTCCTTCCCAATCATCCTCAATATCAGACAACAATCAGTTAAACCATCCCAAGGATGTTTCCTCATCAAATGGCCAGGGACCAAATGACTCATGTGCTTTCTCATTAAAATAAAGACCAGACCATTTTGATGAAGAACCCTGTAATTCATGACTCAATACAACAAAGAAGGACAGATTTTGCACCAATTACTTTTAGGTCATTTGGGGTGATAAGGTTTATGTGTCCATTTGTGCTTCAGGGACAGTGCTTTGGGGAGAGCAAGGCAACAGTGGTGATGGTGGGTGTGAAATAAGTCAATGACTGACATTTTACAGAACATACCCTGACGTCTTCATTTGACACCAAAGCAGTAGCGCATCCTTAGCAGAGCGAGTCTCCTCACCCTCTTGAGTTTGAACAACTATGTCTTGGATCTGGCAATGGAAGGAACAAAATAAGAGAGATTCTTTCTGTGCTTCTCGATTTCTACTCTCTCCTTCTCTCACTCTGATCTATAGTAGAGGTTGCCTGACCTGTGTAAATCCCAACCAAAAGCGGGACAGAAATAATAGCCCACCCTCAAATCATTACCAATGGCCCCCTTTGGTGATGGGAGTGGGAAATTTTCCTTGTGCAAGACTGAGCCTTTCATTAACTTAAGAACTTGAAAGGGATACTGAGAACTAATTGGAACAGGGGCCACTAGCCTTCATCTTTGGAAGGACAAAGTTGGGCCACAGAAAAAAGTCACTAGCTGAATGGTTTGTGTTTAAACTATTAGTCCTGTTTCCTTTTCACTCTTTCTGATTCTAGTGTTATTTTGTGGATCTCATCCGCCCATAGAGAGTGAAATCAGATCAGTTAGTAGTCTAAGTTCCTGGTCTAGTGGGCTCTTTGAATTCAAGCCGAGCAATTATCTTTATTCTTCCCTTAACCTTTAAAACATTCCCCTATACTTTTACCCTCCTAAAGGAGTTCATTCTTTCCCAGACACTATCAAACTTGAACCGCTCAGGATTAGACAGTTAACCCAGTGGCTAGAAGGTTCTGCCTCATTACTCCTTCCAAAATTCCACTATGCCTACTGTGGTTCTAGAATTTCAGGATGAGATAGGAAAAAACCAGGAGAAATAAAAAAAAGATAGATAGAAAGAAAGTCTTTCCAACAACTAGTATTGTTCTTATCCCCACTCAAAAGAGAGAGCAATAGCCAACATGGTTTATCATTGACTTTAGAGATCAGGTTTTATTACCAGGTCACTCAGCAAGTCAGACATGTGAACCCTAATTTCATTGTCTTGGTATGGGTTTTCTATAATGATAAAAGATTTATTATAATAAATAGTATTTTATATCACAAAGGACTTTACATATATTATCTCATTTGATCCTCACATAATGAAGTAGATAGTGCCAGTATCATTGTACCCATTTTAAAAATATGGGAACCAAGGTCAAGGAGAGAGATGAAGTAATTTGCTTGAGGTTAAACAAATTGGTATATGTTGGGAGCTAGAACTTGAACTGTTGATATCCTATCTAGTACTCTTTCCAGAGGATAAATTGATGGCTATAGGTAATTAAATATGTATATTCATTTAAAATTTTTTTGTTGCCCTTTACTTGTTTTCAGTCATATCCAACTCTTTGTGACCTATTTGGGGTTTTCCTGACAAAGATGCTAGAATGGTTTGTCATTTTCTTCTTAAGCTCATTTTATAGACGAGGAAACTGGGACAAAAAGTGTTAAGTGACTTGCCCAGCATCACACAGCTAGTAAGTATCTGAGGCTGGATTTGAATTCAAGTCTTCTTGGCTCCAGGCCCAGGCCTCTAATGACTGCATCCCTTGTTACCCTACAGTGGATAAAGAGTTGGCCCCAAGTCCTGTCTCTGACTTCATACTGGCTATGTGACCCTGAACAGTCACTTAACCTCTCAGGTTCTCCCAGATGACGTTCTAAGACTATAGAGGAGTAGAACAGTTGCTAATTCGCATTGTAGGATAAATTCCTTCACCAGAATGTCTCTTGTTGTTATTCAGTTGTTTGGTCATTCTCAATTCTTAATGACCCCATAGATTTGTCCATAGGGTTTTCTTGGCGAAGGTACTAGATTGGTTTGCCATTTCCTTCTCCAGTGTGCCCCCATTTTACAGATGATGAACTGAAGCAAATAAGGTCACATAGCTAGTAAGTATCTGAGGTCAGATTTGAACTCAGATTTTTCTGACTCCAGGCCCGGTGCTCTGTCCACTGCACCACCTACCTGCCCCTAGGATGCCTCTACTTCAATGAAAGTACCGGACTGGACAAATGTTCTCCGAACTGCTACTCTTTCTACCCCAGTCCAACAAATCCAATCTTCTTTTTCCACCTCCAAAACCTTACCTGGAAGCGAAGAATGATGGTCCAGATGAGACCCAGGACGAGGCGGTGGTTGCCATCTACAATGTCATGAGAACCCATATTTTCCAGATGTACTCGCTGCTCCTTGAGGAACTGCAGGGCTTTGTCAACATTCTCCAGGCAGTGAATCCGCATCTTTCCTTTTGTAGGCTTTGGCTGGGGGGAAACATGGACAGTAACTAAAGTAAGAGCAGCAGTGGACAAAGGAGCTAATGGTATGCTTTTTCAAGCAGCCGTAGCATTGGAAAAGCAAAACAGTCTGACTGATATTAATGAACCACCCTACAAACTAAATACATCCTTTCCCTTCCTCTGAACTACCAAAAATCCTACCCTTTTCCTTCAACAAGGTTCAGGGTTCTTCTTGCCCAGCTCATTCCAAGCGTTGTTTGGACAGTATGGTACATTTCCTGGAGTCTAGTGTTAGCTTCCTACAGTAGATGATGAATAACAAAGTAGTTCTTATACTGGAGATAGCAAGATCTGTGCCAATCAAAAACTCCTCCTCCCCATCTTCAATGCTCCCCATTATGGCTTCACCGCAAGGGATGAAGAGTATGTGAAATGAAGTCTCCACAGGGATCCCTACCAGCTACAAATCTCAGTGGTACTGGCTAATTAGAAAGAATTCAATTCAATAAGCATTTATTAAACACCTGCTATATGTCAAATACTATATCAGGCACTAAAGATACAAAGACAAAAACAAATAGTCCCTGCCCTCAAGGAGCTTACATTCTAATCTCTCAGGACCACAACTAAAGAACTATTAGTGTTGACTCCAGGGAAGGCTTTACATCAGTTCTGCAAGACAAGGAGTCCTACCTAGAGGTAGAAAAAAGGATGTGAGGAAGAATGATCTAACAAGGCAAAGAGGAGCATAAAAATATCATACACACATTCCCATTTCATATTCAATTCAACTCAATTAAAATGTCTGTTGATTATTAACTGCATGCAAAGTACATGGAGAATTTTTTGAATAAATGAAGCAAAGCCTGGATAAAGTATCTATAAATACCTAAAGCAGGTTTAAAATTGGAAGCCCGCTCTGTTGCCTTTAATGTAACATGTATGACTTGATATTTTACAAAAGAAATACCTACAACCCAGGGAAAACAGATTTTTTTTTGCCATTAAAAATATGTGCATTTACAAACGATAATATCCTTTTCTCTTACCCCATTCTGTGCTCTAGAAGGAAATCTATGGCTCCTACTCCTAGTCCCAGTTCTGTGTCATTTATTGGTCTGACATTAGCTGTGTGACCATGGGCAAGTCTCTCAACCTCTGACTCAGCTTCCACATCTATAAAAAGGGAATATTAATGCTTGAAATACTCACATCATAGGGTCCATAGGATCATATGTTTAAATCTGGAAGAGCCTTTAGAGGCCATCTAACCCTATCTCCTCATTTTAGCTGGAGAAACTGTGACCCAGGGAGGAGACCTGTGTTATCCCAAGACACACAGGCTTTTGAAATTAGAGGGTATTGTTGCAGAGGAAAAAGTGTTTTATAAGCCTAAACGTGCTATATAAATGGTACCTCTTGTTATTCACTCCATTTTACAGATGGAAAACTGAGGCACATTATGATCTATACAAGGTCATAAAGCAAGTCAGTGAAAATACTTAGGATAGACCTAGAATAACTGTTATGACCTCAAAATTATTGGATTATAACTGAAATGAGATGATATTACTGCTGACATCTTCCAAAAAGTTTCAATTCCCAAACCCAAGAAGAGGAACAATAATCTCAAAATGTCTAGTTGAATTTCATAATGCTAATGCAATAGGCTGTTCATATGGTGGTCGAAGGCTAGCCAAGGTTAGGAAGCAAAAGATCCTGGCCAGGCATCAAGTTAAGAAAAGTCAGTCTAAAACATCTATAATCTGGCACTTTGTTTTACTGAGTGAAGGAAAGTGACCAGAAGAAGAGGATAGGAGAGGAGAGGGTTAGGTGGTCATAATAAGAACTAGCTTTCAGTGCTTTGAGATTAGCCAAGTGCTTTACACAGGTGAATTCATTTTATCTTCATAACACGCCTGGGAATTAGATACTATTATTATCCTCATTTTACAGATATGGAAATTGGGACTGAGAATTTAAGTGATTTAACCAGAGTCACACAGCTAAATGTTTGAGGCAAGATTTTAACTCAGGTCTTCTTGATTTCAAGTCTAGCATTCTATCCACCGTATCACCTAGCTGTCCCTTAATATGAAGTCAGTATATTAAATATTTCCAAACATGGTGGTGGGAACTGATCAGGACACTTCCTTAAGTAAGGTTTCCCCTTTTTGCTCTAGTTTTGGAATCATATCCAGGAAAAAGAGATGGGCAAGTTTCTTAGGATCATGATGACTTGAGAAAGCACATAAATCTGTCTCTCTTTAATAATAATAAAAAAGTCAATCCTTTTGGACAAGTGACCTGATGAAAGTAAGACAGGGCAAATCTGAGAAGCCTTACCAGCATCTCTCCTGAGAGGACTTCCAGAAGTTTGATGAGCATCCTTCCATCCCGCAGGTCCTTGTAGAGGTCAGCAATACGGCAGGACACACGTGCTAGGTGTGAGTTCACCCATTTTGTAAAAGTCTTCTTTTGGACAACTTCCCTCTCATCTACAAAAGGAGAAGAATCCCAGGTAAGGTACCACAAAGCTGCTAAGAACCAGTAGACCCGGCAGAGGAGGTTTGTACCATGTTTATAACCCGCATGAGAATATTTGATAGCCATAATCCAGGTCATTCTTTTAGCAAACAGAGGCTCATATGTCATTAGTGCCGAGATAGTGAATCTATTAGCTTCTTAACTACACAATGGGTACCATATCACAAATATCCTGGGTACCATATCACAAATAGAAATCCAACCACTCAGTTGCTTTTGAGTCTGTACATGTTGGCCACCAATGCTCAGAACTGTTGCAACAAAGTGAATAGATTCCTTTAGTCCCCATATGCTCTGTTTCCTCTTCATGATTCCTTTTCTCCTGGGAATTCTCCAAGTATAATATCCTCAGTGCTCAAGTAATTGACTGTACTGATTTTTTTAAAAGCTAACATCTAAGAGACAGAGTGAGGTGAAGAGTTAAAGAAGCTTTACCCCTCACTGGTACTGGATTATACATTGCAAAGAATTAAGTCAGTTCTTATGCTAATAAAGAAAATCACTTCCTTGGGTAGGAGCAATTCTTCAACTTGTGATTTCTCAACTCTGTTCATTCTTTAGTAACTATGGACTTATTTTCTAGGACATATCATGGAGCAGGACCAAGAAAGACTTGGGGAAGGAAATGAGAAGGAATCCCTTTGGACAAAGACATGATTTCATGCAGGGGTTGTATGGATTCTGACAAAGAATGAAGCAGATAATAGACATTTAAATGGTTGGCTTAGTCTGAAGAGAAAAGGAAGGGAAGCAGAATGGGAGAGGGGGAAGAAAGGAGAATGATAAGGAGAGGAAGAGGGAAAGGCAGATGGAAGAAGATAAGTGAAAAAGAGAAAGAAAAGAGTTGGAAAAGGAAGAGGGACAAGAGAACAAAAGAGAGAAAAAAAATACCCTGCTTAAATTTGTAAATAGCCTGTGACAACTGACTTCTGTGTAAATGGATTTGATGACTCAGGGCCCCAAAAAATGTGACAAGTGTGGCTTGGTCCACTGAGAAATGACCTCAAGAGGGTCACAATTGTTGCAGAGCTGTTTCTTTGGAGTGTCCACACCAGAACCACTTCAAGGGCATGACTCAGATGTCTGTGCTGGCTCACAATAGTGAGCTTCCTTCTTTCCACTCCCAGTTAGTTGGGTGCTTGAAACTTATACTCTCTCACTCTAAACATAAAGTAGAAACTTACACCCTCTCATTCTAAGCATGAGGTAGAGAAAGAAGAAATGGGGTTGACTATACCAACCTTAAATACTCACAAAAGAGGCATATTAGCCAGTATCTTGACTTAAATTCTGCAGCCCAAGTGAATTTCAGACAACACTGTTACTCTTTGCAAAATATACTGTTTTTCTAGGCTTTCTGTTATTCTGGTTTTAAATGAAGGACTTTATGGTACCTTAGGGGTGTCTGGTAACTTGCTTAAAATATGATGTGTTTACGTGGGGAGGGAGGAGGTATTAAAGCTCAATAAGACCATTCAACTTTTCCTGGGAAGGAGATTGCCCCCTCCTCCCCACAGACAGATAAACTTCACTTGCTGCCACCCAGTCCAACACTGTAAAGGTTAAGTAGATAACCAAATGTTAGAGGAAAGAGCTTTAGCCAGCTGCCTCCTTTTCTTCTTTCCATAGTGAGGGACTCCTGCCTACTACTGCTTGGCAAGGGGCTCTGTTTACTTCACAACTAATACAGAGTAAGGGAATTCATCCTGAAATTTTAACTTAGAGACCTAGACTTAATCTTCACTGGGTTAACATAATTCAGAGGTGACCCAAGTTTTAAGCATCTCAAATTGCCCTCTGATCAGTATTATTTTCAACAGACAAATGAATCCTTTACGTACGACAAAGCTTGAGAACTTATAGGTTTCAAATAGGTAGTTTCCTGATTATGGGCCTTAAGAATCCCCTTACTGAGGAGATGGACAAGACTTGCTTAGGAGAAGAAAGAATGGTAGGGTGGTAATCTACACCAAAGGTTCTCAAAGTGTGATCTAAGAGCTCCCAGGGTTTCCTGAGACCTTTTCGGGGGTCCACAATGACTAAATTATTTTCATATTAATACTAACACATTATTTGCCTATTAAAATACTCCTCCCTTTTCCTACTATATATGTGTGTGAAGACAGATTTTCTTCATGTACTTAAATTAAAACAACATCACAACAGATTGAATGCAGAGGCTGATATGAGAATTCAGCCGCCTTCTATTAAGCCAGACGTTATGGAGATTTGCAAAAATATGTAAATCAATGCCACTGTTCTCATCAAATGTTTTCTGCTTTGGAAATTTTTTTTTAAAAAAGGTGTTATTTATTTTTACATGTAATAGATTTATTATTGTTATTTTTAAATGAATATTTAAAAAAATTCATCAGTTTTCATTTCAAAAACTACAAATACTAAAAGCCATGAAAGCAAAAGTTCTTTGAAGTCTTCAATACTTTTTAAGAGTGTACAGGGGTCCTAAGACCAAAATATTTTAGAACCACTGATCTACAGCAATGGAAATCGTTCCCAAACAATGAGACGCCAGATTTATCGATGCACATTTCTCAATTGCCAGAAAACATTTCGAAGTATCGGGCATTCTTAGTAATTTCACTCCAGCTCTTTTAAGAGAAAAGCAGTTAAGTCAGGGAAGGGAAGCAGAAATCCCCAGAGGCTAACTGTCATACAGAAGGGAAGGTCCAGGAATAGGGATTAATTTCCATTAGTTCCTTCTCTCTGGTGGAGCTTTGCAGCTCACTCAGCATATTTGTTCCAGAGCCCATCCTGAGGCTTTCAAGTAGAATTCTTAGCTGGTGAAGCAATGCCAGATGAAAGCCTGAGGCCCAGTTCTTGTACACAGGATGTACCTATGGGAGAGACTGGAAAAAGAGGGTAATGCTGGCAACAGCTGCAGCAGCACACCTGGGCTTGTCCTCAGTGGGTCCTAGCCTATGCTGCTGTGACATATAATCCCTGACTTCTCTACTCAAAGATTCTATAAGGAGGATCAGTTTAGGCGAAGGTCCAGAAGGTGATGTTTTCTTTTCCTGAGACTAAATCATGCCAGTGACCACTAGAAAGAAACTAATTCTGGAAAGTAGCACTTGACCTATATGTTTGTGCCCTAAAAACAAAGGCTATCTTTCCTTTTCTATTGCTAGTAATGCCACTGATTTCACTATCCCTTATAAACTAAGTCCCTATCTCGTTTTTAACTCACTTTTACTCCCTGCCGGCCTGTGGTCATCATTTTTCTACCCCAACCAAAGAAGTTTTTCTCTCCTCTCCCCTTCCACACAGCTAGCATCTGCACTTGTACGTTGGTCGAAGCAACATCTCCTCTTCATCTTCCTTCTAGGGCTTGGCTTAAAATTAAAACAGCAGGTCAATAAATATGATTCATCACCATGGGTTCTCCTCCTGTGTGACCACTCCTTCTTAGTTTACCTTGCTAGCTCACCATCCAGATCACATCTCTTAACTGTGGGGGCATCTCAGCGCTTTTAAGGTTTACGAAGCTCTAAAGACAATCCTCACAATAAGTCAAAACAATTTTATGATATAACCAATGCAAGTACTATGACCATTTTTATAGATGGTGACACAAATTTCAAAATGATTGAGTGATTTGCCCAGAGTCATATAGACAGTAAGTGTAAGAATCAATATCCAAACCCATGTCCCCTTGTCCAAAAACCAGGGTACTTTCCAATAAACTATCTTAACTCTCTTTTAAGAGAAAAAAACATCTTATCAACACTTCAGTCAGCTCAATCCTCAATGAGGAAGCACCATGTATAGGCTGGTAGAGAAAGGAGGGGAACAACCACTTATGTAGTACCTCCTCTGTGTCAAGCACTGTGCTAAACACTTTAAAAACATTATCTCAACTGATCCTCATAACAGCTCAGCGAGGTAGATGCTATTATTATCCCTGTTTTACAACTGAGGAAACTGAGGCAATCAGAGGTTAAGTGACTTGCCAGGGTCACACAGCTAGGCAATGTCTGAGTTTGGAACTGAATTCAGGACTTTTTGACTCGAGGTCCAGTGTTTTATCAACTACATGTTCTATCCATTGCAACACCTATATTTGTCACCTGCTGGAGACACCCAGAGGCAGAATTATTAGAAAAGGTAGGGACAAGTGATGTCTGTGGCCCTTCTGGACACTTTTCATAAAGCTCTCCATTTCCTTGCTATTTGGAGTCAATGCTATCTGGAAGAATATAAAAAAGAAGAAGATAAGGCTTCCACAAATTCAACTGTTTCCATCCAAGCCTCCTGACTTAAGCTTGAGTCACTCTCCTACAAGCCTCTTTTAGCTTCTCCATTTAAAAAAAATGAAAAATTACTGCAGATATTCAGGGAGCAATGCTCTTGGTCCCTCTTCTGCAGAGGAGAATGTAGAAGCCAGGGGAGCTGGGAGAACCAAGCAATAGCAAATGTAGCTAGTGCTAGTGTATAAGTGTGCCCATGGAAACGACTGGCCTAAAAATTAATAGGTATTTCCCAAAGATGTCAGGAGCCATTAAAGCAAGTCATTCAGCCTTCATAATGAGGGGAGAGAGCCAAGTCTTATTATTAACCTCAATATGTTAATATTTAATAGAATATCCATGTAATGGTATATCATAGTCGCCCTCCGTTTGAGAGCAGCTGGTTACTCCCCTGCAAAGCATTTTCAAGCTGAGATTTTCAGAAATTAGAAGAAGCATAGCTTTTTACCCATGTTAGGAGGGAATGGGATAGGATGTTGTTGGGGATAGGATAGGCTGAGATGTCTTGGGAATGGCAGATCTGCCTGAAGAGGACGAAATCTTAAAGATGGCTGGTTACAGTGAGGTGGCAAAGGGAGAGGATGACTTAATTCTTGCTCTATTTTGATCCTAACTTAATTTTTGTTTTGTTCTAATTAGTACTGATAGTTTTAGAAATTTTAACATGTTTTTCCACTATATTA